ACTCTTTGGACTCCCATGCTTGATCGTACGAGATCTCGCAACCATGTTCTGTGCGCATAATCTGTATAATTTCTCTTGGTTTAGGCCCTTCCTTAACACCCTCATACTTCTGCATAATCAGATTACCGATTGTCTTAGCTGACGCTGTCCTAGCTATTTTGTTTTTCCTAGATGGCGCACAAGTATGTTCAGCTACATACTTGTTGATTTTAAAATACGTTGACCCCTCTAGATACTCTGCGCGAACACGCCAATTACATTCACCATCTTTACAGCGAATAGACCACCATTTTTTTGTTGATTGTATCACACTGTAGTCAAAGTTATGCTTCATAGCACAGATTTCAAAAGTTGCTTTCAGTTCGCTTTTGTTTCTGAAATTTTGTCCCTTCGTTACTGCTTCAATCATCCAAAACCGACCTCCCTTGTTACTTACTTCTTCAGTATTGCAAATCAGGGCATCATATCCAGAGACGACCTCATCTTGGCTGTCACGCAAATTGGTTTTTGAGACATGTTTCCGCTGATCAGTAAAAACTTGTTCTGACTTTCCTATCACAGTGTGATCGACGTCTTCAGCACTATGTGAATCATAGGGCTCGTCATTCAAATCAAATTTTACACCTTGATTCTGTACTTGCGATGTAAACGACACACAAAGACGTGTAGACGCATTTTTTTTTGCATAACCAACGAAATTTTTCAGTTGCCGATCATTTGTGATAATCACCGGTGGAGAGCTTAAGTTGTCAACCAAATTGCTCGGTAGATAACTGAACTCGGCACTGTGGTCGACAATTCCAAAGTCCTCTAACGTCATAGCTGTTAACTCCGCCAGAGTCGTACTAGATTCCAAAGTTACTAATCAACCTCTTTTTTCTTCATTGACTTCAAAAACCCAATTCTTATTGAGAATCGATCTCCATATACCACAGATAACATAGATATGCACCATAATTGAATAACCTGAACAGAAACATAGAAAACTGTAATTAGGGTGGAAATCTTGTGAAAATGCCGTCAAAGAGAAGAAGAAAAGAAAAAAAATCTTCAAAAATATGTTAAAAATGTGAAAAATAGAAAAGGAAAATAAAATATTTTCAAATATTTAATTTTTGTTGGATAACACCTGATCCTAGATTTTTTCAGATTTTATTAACCGTTTAGTAGAATACGGATTCTATATTCACTAGAACGAAGAAAAATAAGTAGAAGTCTAATTCTAGATAACATAGAATACATAACGATTTCTAGAATGCATATTCTAGAATGTGTAAAATATATTACGAATTCTAGATAACGTATTCTACATGATGTTATAGAAAACAAACAAATAGTAGAATATGTATTCTATACTCGGTGGATCTTATACCATATACTAGAAATCAAATTCTATAAAACTCTAGAAATGTAGAAGACGTTTTCTAGAACATATTAATAAATATATTTTAAATATATGTATTTCCTTAAACGATGTTTTAGAATTTACGAAATTTACGAAATTTAAATGTATTTCATAAATATTTATTTTTTTCCGTTTTTGGAATTTACGAAATTTAAATGTATTTATAAATATTTATTTCGAAATATAAAAATATTTCATAAGGTTATTTTTGTCTAAAATTGCTAAAACTCAAAAAAATACTAAGGGGACAAAGCTCTCTATTTTTTGTCCTATATTTCCAATTTTCCCATTTTTCTAATAAACGATGACCGATGGATCAAGATTGCATGATCTTTACCATCTAAATCAGATACTTAAAAATCTAGCAGATTTGTTTCCTTTTAATAATGTTTTTACAGATTTTTATTAATTAATTAATATAAATTTAAACATGAAATAAATTTTTCATTGACTATTTTTCTACTTTCTATTACCTATAGATCAAATTTTGCATTTTCAAATAATTATAGTCAAATAGGTTAAAATTTCTTATCTTTTTATTAATTTTTTTTAACTTTTTGACTTGAGAAAATAAGCAAATAAAACTCCATTCAACTATTTTTAATAGCTTTAAAAAAATCACAAACTCTACAAGTAAATATGTAATCCAAACCTCTAATAAATTAATTACAAGTAAAAACATGATCATCGTTCATTTATAAATTCAATCTAAAAAAGAATAATCAAACACACACACAAAATATTATAGCCCAAGTTACGGTTCAGCATAACCTCTATTTATTATATATGGAAAAAAGTTTGCATTAGAATATAAACAACAACAAAACAGAGAGAGAGAGAGAGAGAATTTTCTTCATTTATATTGGTTTCTTCTAGTTGTATTATATACTGGTGCTTTTTTTTTTTGAGTTCCAACGCTCTTGTTGTAGTTATCATTATTGTAACACTAAAAGACTGTTAATTATCAATTTGTTTGTAAAACGGAGATACAAATTCATATGTGATTCGCTTTACTGTCCAAAATTTACGATAGAAGTATAATGAGAGAATTTCTTAATAGAAAATAATAAAAAATGAGAGGATTGATACTAAAATTCAACTTTCCCAACCATAGATTCAATATAATTACAAAGTGTCATAAATAAATGCTAGTGTTGTTAATATGGCCATCGCTATCGTATATAACATATATGGTATATGTTAAGTATTTGTTAAACTAAACTTAAACTTGGGGGCGTATCATGTGATATATAGGTCTCAAAACATAATGCAACTCAATTAGTGTGTTGGCAAATAAACAAGCTATAACCAAATTTGTAAATTCTGCCACAAAGCTTTTTCTGTAACCATATGTTTACTAGCATTTCTATGTTTTAACATTTGTTTTAGGTTTATGTACAAGAAATATACAAAGTTTGGTTCACGAAGGACAGACTTGGTCAATCCGTCCAGAGGCTAGGCAGGCTCGGCAAATGCCTAGGACTACCGTTTTTTTAAGTTTTCCATGGATCACCTAATTAGTTTTAAGTTAATAAGCTATCAAGATGGTCATGACTACTAAAAATAAATAAATAATTATACGTTCAAAAGAAAAAAAAAGAACGAAATCAATTCGCTTTAAAATCAATCAAATAACCGATACATAATAGATAAATTAAAATTATAAAATAACATCAGAAACTTAATAAACAAAAACAAGATTACAGAAATTTTAAAGAAAAAAAAAATTCTTCATAGAGTATGAGTTCCAAGTTTGGTTTTGCCAACAGTCATTTTCTTGTTGAGAAAAATACAAAGAGAAACGGAGTACCATAGCATATAATTATGCTTAAAATATTTTTTTCATGGTCCAGTTTTGCTGTGAGGAATATTCCAAGAGCGAGTAGACTATCTGAACACAACACATCCTTCATGGTGAATATCTTGGTCATATACAGTACAATGTACTACTAATGTAATCCACTGAAAGAAAAAAGACAGGTCACAGTTATAAACAAACGGCATAATTAAAGTGTCCAAGCACGAATCCATCATACGGTCCAATGGTTGTAGAAGAGGAGTCATAAGTTTTTAGAGAATGACATGAAGAAAGTAACAAAAGGAGATGAGTAACCCCAATAATTCAACAACTGCCATCTATGTCAAATTCAGATATCAAGATCAAGATCATTTTCACAAAAATTCATGGAAAATGGATTATGAAGAGCTGCAATCAATCACTTTAACACTGATAAAGCAGTAAATGTATACAAAGCATCAAACAATGGATAAGGTCCCATTACTATATCACCTCTATGTAAAAAAAACTTAAGCACAAGCATCAGAAAAAGATGCTACAAGGGAAACAAAAGAATTTTGGAAACAAATCTTAGGTGTAGAACGCAACGAACAGAATCAGAACCCTAGATACCAAATGGGCATCAATCAAATTAAAATATATCCTTGTTGTTAAACACATTACTCCTCCTCGGGATCAATGAATGAACACAAGTGCTTTTGAATCACTGGTGATGTCATTGTTTACTTTTGAATCTAAGGCATGTTCGTTTTTGCATCCAGACGCTGGATGCAAATGCTCAAATGTTATTCATTTGGACACTTTAAAACCTACATCTGGATGCTGAATCTGGATGCAAAATCAATAACATCTCATATATCTAGATTTTTTAGATACTAAACAATGAAGAATTTGGATGCAAATCTAGCATCTCAAAAATTAAAAGACTAAAATATTCCTCACTATAACATATTCATAATTATCCTTTAAAAACTATAACAAAAAATTTCGCGAAAACCGCATAATTACAGCTTTTTGGCCTAATTTCATCTCCCCCCCCCAAAAAAAACAAAAATCTAGGTTTCCCACCAAAAATCGGAAATAATCATTTTTCCACAAAAACCATAAAATCAAGTTTTCCCCCAAAATCTCCATTTTCTCGTCAAAACGAAAAATTTTGATGTCCCGTGATAACCCGCCAAAAACTCAAAATTTCGTTTTTCCGTCAAAAATAAAAATCTCGGTTTCTCGCCAAAAACAAAAAATCTCGGTTTCTCGCCAAAAAACTCAAAATCTTGATTTCCCGCCACAAATGCAAAATTTTGATTTTTCGCCAAAAACATATATATCGACTGCCAAAAACTCAAAATTCTAGTTTCTCGGCAAAACACAAAAAAAATTTCCCGCCAAATCTGCAAAATCATGTTATCCCTTTGAAAAATGCAAAATTACTTTTTTTCCATGTATTTTTAAAACTTAATTTGATAAAAATATCACTTAGAAATAATTTCAATTAATCTTATATAAAACTACTATGATTATAAATAAAAAAAATAATTCAAAAATATGTCCTTTTAAGTCATTTGATATATTTTGCATTCTAAATTCACAAACGAACAATTTTGCATCTAAACATAACATTTGATGCAAAAACTAATTTCCAAAACAAACAATAACTAGATGTTGTATCTAGATGGTAATCTAGATGCTAAATCTAGATGCAGCATCTAATTCAAAAAACGAACAAAGCCTTAGTGTTTGTACAAAAAAAAAACAATTTAGATTTGATAAATTTTTTTTTGTCAACAGCCTAAATACTCAGAACGGTTCGATTAACCAAACTGGGGGTACTGAGTTTACATAAATTACATCTTCATGGTCGACACGTGCACTTCTTGCCAAGTTGTCTGCCTTCAAGTTCTTCGCGCGAGGGATCTGAGATATAGAAAAGTAGCTAAATCTGTCATGCATCTTCCCAATCTCCTCTAAATGTAAAGTAAAAGCCGGCCATTCTTCAGGTGTAGACACCATCTTCACCAACTCCGAACAGTCTGTTGCAAAAGCTACTGCAGTCTTCTGATTCTTCAACATACAATGCATAGCACATATAAATGCTTCCATCTCCGCATGTAGAGGCGTAAGGCTTCGTCTTACCTTTTGTGCTCCCATCACCTTGTCTATAGTACATTCTTTGAACAAGTACCATCCTAATCCGACTGATAACTCTGTATCTTTCCAAGATCCGTCAATATAACACCACCAATCTGCATAAGGCATCGATATTGTGCATTCTGAAAGATTACACGTGTCTATTTAAGCTTGATAATATAACCTAAAAATTTATTATTCACCAAAATTTCTCATATTTTAATATCATTTAGCATTATTAACATTCCAAAACACGATTCACAAAGCTTAAGCATTTTTCATGTCAGCCCCACTTGGTGGATACTCGCACTAAGTGCAGACTTGCGGTAGAAGTATAATGAGGGAATTTTTTAGTAGAGAATAATGAAAAATGAGAGGATTGATACTAAAATTCAAATTTCTCAACCATAGATGGAATATAACTACAAAGTGTCATAAATAAATGATTAGATTTGTTAATATGGCCATAGCTATCGTATACATCATATATGGTATATCATGCGATATATAGGTCTCAAAACATAATGCTATTCAATTATGTGTATTGGCAAATAAACAAGCTATAATCAAATTTGTAAATTCTGCCACAAGGCTTTTTTGTAACCATATGTTTACTAGCATTACAACTATGTGATAACACCGTATTTTGACCACTTTTATGGATCGTTTTGAAATTCTTTTTCTATGTTTTTAATTGCTTTTAAGTACTTTTATTACGTTTTTCTAGTATTTGTAGTTCCAAGACTCTTTTCAGGTAACTTAGGGAAAAGCTTAACAAAATGGATAGAAAACCAGATTTCAGCTCAGATTCAAACCGTCAGAAGTTCACCCCCGATTGAAGGCCTTCTCACCGTCTGATCCAGCTCAAATTTGGAGATCTTAAAGATGGAAGTATCAGCTTTCCAGAACACTTTACAGCTTCGCAATCCAACGGTTCAATCAAAAGATACGCGAAGAGCAAGATGTCCCGTAAACCAGCCGGCAAGCGTTTCCACCCGCGGCCAATAGGCCATTCTCCGCGGTCACAACCACCGCGACTGCGGCCAGCCACCCATTCCCCGCGGTCACAACCATCCCGACCGCGGCCAGCTAACTCCGACTTTGAAGGCCTATTTCTGAAGCCCGTATCATTTTTCCAGCCTCAATTCCGGAACCCTAGACACTAGAGAGTATTGGAGACTATAAATACATGTCATTTAGGTCATTTTTAAAGAGAGAAGAGGAGAGACGAAATACTTTACCGAAATTTTACTTTAAGCTTTGATTTTAGGTTTTAGGGAGAGATAGATCTGTCTCTTGAACCCTTGTTCTTTCTTTTCAATTTCGATTTCTATTCTACCTTTTAATACTATGTTTTTGATTTCGTTTATTATGTCTGAGTAGTTTTATTGTTGGGTCTAAGGGATTTTCGATGGGGATATATATGTTCGGTGAGGATTCCATTGGCTATTGAGCCGAATCTTAGAACTTTTTCTTGTGAATTCGTTTTTACTGCATGAGAGTAGCGTCATGAACTACAATCTGATCCAGATGCTTGGTGACACGAAAGTGTTCATCCAGTGTCAGATCTAGTTTGGGAGAGCAAAACACACATAGGAATGGAAACCTACCTATGGGCGATTTGTGAATGCTGATGAGTCTTAAACATAATGCACCTCTTCTTTTCCAGAGCCAGAGTGGAAACCTACTGGTCAGGGTTGAGAGAGATAGTTGTCTATGATCACGACAGTGGCGTATTCATACGTCCGTGACTCAGTTCGAAAAGTTTAAGCTAAGATCTTATCAAATTTACTCTCTATCAATGTTTTGAATCATTCATACCCCTGAGAAAACTTCCCGAACCCCAGCGCCTTTGTTCTTATAGATTTACACCGATTTTCATTCAAGCTTTAGTCTAGTATCTTTAGTCTTTCAATCAATTTTCATTTAAGCAATTAGGTTAGCCGTTTTTCTCGTTTTTACCCGTTTTCGTTAAGTTTAGTTATTAGGTCATTTTAATTCCCGTATTCTCTCTTTAGGATTCGTTTTTACGTTTTAAATACACCACCAAAACCCTCACAAAACCCGCCTGGTTCTAGACTTCCTTACTTTATATTTCTTTCGAAGGCTTTTGCAGGAAAGATCCTTCTTCCCTGTGGATTCGATCCCTAGGTACTACAATCGATCAGCTGTGCACTTGCGGCTATTGATTTCATTTAGGGTAAAACTTGACACCCTCGACACACACCACATCAAGTTTTTGGCGCCATTGCCGGGGAAGGCACGCGTATTCTTTTCCGAAAAACCCTAAGAAAGGTTGGTAAATCGACTCTAGAACCCCTTTTTCTGCATATTTCCATTTTTTGGTTATTTTGTTTCCATTTCAGAAGATATGGATCCTATAAATCGAAATCCACACTATGAGGAAGGTTTTTACAACACTCCTCAAGCCACCAGACGCAGAGAGAAGCAGTACCTAAGCGATCTCTACGAAGAAATTTGAACCGAAGACTACAGAACATTCCAGAACGAGCCATACGTACCTCTAATGGCAAACCCTAGACATCATGTTCGTCGTCTGCCTCACCAAGATGAAAACATCCAGCTCAGTCACCGATTGAGTCGACTAGAAACGATGGTCATGCACATAATCGCCGCTCAAGCCACATCAAGAGCCGCCCTTCACGAGAAAATTGACAACATGTCAACTCACTTTAACAAAAAGCTTGAAGATCTTTCTGCTCAAGTTAAAACCATCAAGACTCAAGCAAACAAGGATGCTGAGACTATCATGGAGAGGATAGAAGCAGTCGAAGGACGAGTTGGAGAAAACAAAGTTTGCATTCGCAAATTCAGTGGGAACATCCGCACCTTAGAAGTCAAGCTCGATGAAGCAGAAGAAACTATTAACGACCATAACAACCAAACCTACTCTTACGTGGAAGAAATTTGGGATGGAGTACACAAGGTTCAAGACAAAGCCAAAGAAATCGACTCAACCGTGGACAAAGTAGTGTGTGCCCTAGATGAAGTTGAAGAGAAGGTCGAAAAGCTTATGAAAGGATGTGAAACAAACGGCTCGACGCTTCCCATCAAAGATCTTGACCTAAAAGAAGAGGAGACAGAGTTGGAAGACCCTAAAACCAGTTTAGATGGCAAAGGAGAAGTTGAAACGGCTGAACCATCTCGAAGTCTCTCTCCCGCGGTCACGACTCACGTGACTGTGGCCAACAACCCTCCAGCCGCGGTCGTGAGCTTCCTACCCGCGGAAAACCACTCCCCACCCGCGATCGTGCAGCCTCCACCTGCGGCAAATAGTCGGTCAGATACGTTTCAGCCCTTTTCTATTCTTACAGATCAATGTTCATTTGATACATCTGTTGAGACGGTCAAAACCCCTTTTCATGAGCAAACGGTGTACGCTATCAGCTCCAAAACATCTCAAGAAGAAAATGAGATACTTCCCTGAAACATAGTTTTAGCATATGAGGATGAATATGAAGGGCAATACCTCGAAGATGAAGACTATCGTCTGTTCATAGAAGGAGGCAATCCAGAAAAAAATGGTGGAATTAGGAGCACCAATCTCCAGAGAAAGACTCATTGAATTCAACAAGTTTGTGAAATCGATCCCTCTTTACATAGGTTTCGATGATATATGGCATCTTGGTTGTTTGCAAGTTTTCTTTAGGTACAGCAAGGAGACAAAAGAGGATATCCGAACCTATTTTGGGAGGGCCAGACGCCTGACTTTTCCCAGAACATCACCTGATGCTGCAATCTATTCAATCCACCTTCAAAGACCTGAAGACTGCAGCCACTACACCAACAAAATCAGCAAAGAAAAGCTCGATGAATTCAATGATGTAGTCCGAAATTTGTCTAAAAGAATCACCTTTGCCATAGCTTGCAAGGACTTCATTGGCGCAGCGAATAACCGAGGTTCAGTTCAACCAAGTGTCTCTGAGGTAAGACAAAAGGGACCTGCTTCTTGCTTGTGAGGAATCGAACGAATTCTCAGAACAAGGAAGAGAGAAATTCTCTGTTTCTATTAAATCAAGACTGCCTCTTATTGAAGAAAAACACAGGCTTATATAGCCGGGGTTCCTTGTCACAACCGACAAAGGAATAAAGCTCCTAATTAAACTAGAAAATATCCTTTTATGTTTATCTATAGAATAATTAAAAAAGGAAATTAAAACTAAAACCAAAGAAATAATCAATAACAGAAATGATCGTAAAACTCATGTCAACTCTTAAGATGATGCTGCATCAGGACTCCCGGGGTGAAGAGGATTCGTCCTCGAATCGGGAACGGGATCAGGAGGAACGAAGGGATTCAAGTACTTTACATTGAAGACATCAGATGTATTGATATCCGCTGAAAGTTTAAGCCTATACGCATTGTCATTTATGCGTTCTAAAACTTCAAGTGGACCAATCTTCTTAGCTTTCAACTTGTTGTAGGCATGAGATGGCATCCGATCCTTTGTGAGCACAGCCCAAACTAAGTCACCAGCACGAAATACAAGTCGACGGCGATGAATATCGGCATTGGCTTTATACTTCTGTGATGAGGACTCAAGGTTAGCAATAGTACGAGCATGTGTTGCCGCAATCTCCTCAACAAACTCTGCAGCTCCACCATGCAAGCGAGAACGATCAGGAAGCGACGACAAATCCACGGGACCTCGAGGAATTATACCGTAAATGACCTGAAAAGGGCTAAAACCGGTGCTACGGTTAATGGCGTGGTTATGAGCAAATTCAGCCTGGGGAAGCTTCGTATCCCATGACTTGATAGCTTCTCCAACTAAACATCGCAAAAAATTCCCCAATGAACGATTCACAACCTCTGTCTGGCCATCAGACTGTGGATGATAAGCAGAGCTCATGTCCAAACTAGTGTTAAACATCTTCCAAAGTGCACGCCAAAATTGGCCTAGAAAACGAGAGACAATAGAAGAAGGTAAACCATGAAGCCGATACACCTCACGAAAGAATAAGATTGCGACTTGCACAGCATCTGTCGTACGCTTACAAGGGATGAAATGAACCATCTTCGAGAAGCGATCAACTACGACAAAGATAGAGTCAAAGCCTCGTTGGGTTCGCGGAAGACCCATGACGAAATCCATACTTATATCTGT